TAGAGACGGGGCTTCCCTGTGTTGGTCAGGCTGGTCTTGAATTCCTGACCTCAAGTGATTCACCCGCCTTGGCCTCCCAGAGTGCTCGGATTACTGCGCCCAGCCCATTGAGCTACTTTTTATTAATTTGTTAATAATTAGAGATGAGGTCTCACCAAGTTTCCCAGGCTGGTATTGAACTCCTGGGCTCAAAGCATCCTGCCACCTTAGCCTCCCAAAGTCTTGGAATTGCAGGTGTGAACCACCATACCGACCCTTCATTGGCCCACTTTTTAACAAAGGATCCAGGCCAGGCGTGGTGGTTTACTCCTGTAATCCCAGCACTTTGGGAGGCCAAGGCGGGCGGATCACCTGAGGTCAGGAGTTCGAGACCAGCCTGACCAACATGGCAAAACCTCGTCTCTACTAAAAATACAAAAAATTAGCCAGGCATGGTGGCACATGCCCACAATCCCAGCTACTTGGGAGGCTAAGGCAGGAGAATGGCTTGAACCCGGGAGGCAGAGGTTGCAGTGAGCTGAGATCGTGCCACTGCATTCCAGCAGCCTGGGCGACAAGAGTGAAACTCTGTCTCAAAAAAAAGAAAAAAAAAAAAAAGGATCCAGAGTTGGGAAACCCTCTAATGCTGCTGGGTTTGTCAGGTGTTTAGAGTGTAAGATACAGTTACTTGTTGCTTTAGTTTGAAAATTGCATCATTTTGCATAATTTTATGGATTCTTGTTTTGCTGTTGACTCACTTGAGAATTTTTTTGAACTCTTACTGTGTATCAAACTTTTTTAGGTTCTTTGGTTGTGAAGACAAATCAAATCTCATGGGACTTAGTCATAGCATGATATGCAAACAAGGCAGGAATGCGTGTGAGTCATCATTCCGTAATCGAAGCCTGCCCAGTAGCTGGAGTAGTCCAGAGAAGGAAGAGAGGGCAAGAAGAGTAGTCAGAAGAGACTGCTGATGTGTCTCCTGTGTTCTTGGAGAGCCGTTTCCCATGTGCCCTCAAAGCCCTTCTGTGTAGCAGTGTGCTGCGTGTGGCAGTGTGCTGCGCGTGGCAGTAGCGTATGGGGCCTGGCTCTAGAAACAGTCTCTACGTGGGAAATGAAGCCCATCCAAAGACCTTAAGCTCAGTTCAGCCAGGAGATGTGATGTTTTTAAATTAGGGCTAAGCAGGCCCATAAATTTTTTTTTTTGGTTACTCTTCTGTGACGTTGAATAGTTGACTTTCCTGTTTTACTCAAGAATTGAAGAAAATTTGCAAATACCCTTCAATCTTATTTATCTTTTTCAGTGTCTTCTGTATATACAGAAATACAAATGTGAACGAAGTAGAAGGACGAAAATCAAATAGCTTGCCCTTTGTTTAGAGGAAACAAGTCAATTTGGAAAGGTCCCAGTGTTGTGTAAGTGTTTTCAGTGGCTGAAGCCAGGGAGCTCAGGTTACATTGCATCTCCTGTGTTGGGGGTGGGGACAGCAAGTGACACAGCATACTTACGTAACCGTGACTTCAGGGGACAGGATTAAGCTGTGAATGAACCTCCCAAACCCAGGAATGTGATATGAGAACATAGCCTTTGAATTTCTCTCTCAAGTTTGACTTGAAAAATCAGCTTCAGAAACATCTTTATCTTAAGATAGACTTTCATTGCTCTCAGAACGTCTCTCCCCTGACCTTCCGTTATTAAGTTCATGGACATACAGCGTTATAGAATTAGGTGGGGGCTCCGAAGTCTGCGAGTGCAGCTGTGCACAGGTAAGTCACTTCACTCGCCTGGTGCTGAATTTCCTTTGGGTTGTGCAGCCGGGCCGCGTTGAAACCTGGGTTTCTGGACGTTGTAGCTACCACGCAGCCTGTTTCTGGAAGCTTGGTGTTAAACTCCCTCTCCTGGCAGGTTAAATTCATTGCAAATTCTCTAACTCTCCTTTGCCTCCCAACAGAATTTTTAGGTTTAGTAAATCAAGTGGCATTTTCATTTTGTGGATGGGGCAAAATGGACTGGAAAGGGTCTGACGTGTAGAGATGTGATTTTCTTGGGGCAGCGCGATGCCGCTCTATGTGTGCCAGGAGGTGCTGAGCCCGTTTGAAACTCTTACCAGATTTGGGTTATTTCTTCACTGATGGCAGAGGCCTGTACTTTTTACTTTGGCAAAGTTAGAGCCACCATCTTTCCTTTCACTTCTGAATCCTTGACCTTTTGCTTACAGGATTTTGATTTGATACCCAAAACAGGACTAGCACCGTGAAGGTGTGGAGTTAGAAACAGATCTTATTTAATGAGTGTCCTCAGGTTGCAGGTGGGAATACTGAGCTGGGGAAGGGGTTACAAAACGTGAGTTGTTCAGGGTCGTCCATCTGGGACGGGAGTTTAGGTGTCTCACTTCCCAGTCCAGCTCTCTGTTCGTACTTTTGTATTTATTTGAACCATGACATTGAAAAAATAGGAGTAAACGTAACCTTAAGAAATTAGATGAGAATTTTAAAGAATATTATTCCTTCTTGTATGAGCGTAATTTTCACCATTCTTGTTTTTGGGAACTGCTGATTTTGTGGAATGTCTTGTTTCTGTAAATTGCTTAAGGTTTTTTTTTTTTTTCCGCCCCCGGTTCCTTGTTCGGGGGGAGGGGGGTTAGATTTTATTAAAATATGTATTTTCTATAATAAGTCTCTTTTTTTCCCTTAAACTTTAAAAAAAATATTTTAGAGATAAAGTCTTGCTATATTGCCCAGGCTGGACTCAATCTCCTGGGCTCAGGCGATCCTTCTGCCTCAGTCTCCCAAGTAGCTGGGATTCTAGGCAGGCGCCACCATGCCCAGCTAATTAAAAAAAATTTTTTTTAGAGATGAGGTTTCACTATGTTGCCCAGGCAACTCTCAGACTCTTGGACTTAAGTAATCCTCCTGCCTTGGCCTCCCAAAA